TCACCTTTAAGGAGCCCTTCCTAAGTGAACTTAACCACTCTCTCCTTCCATAGCAGCAACGACTGTCTTGAATTCCAGCTGGAGAGTATCTTATGCTGGATTTATATATAAATAGGTAACAGCAATTAAAGATTCTTCTCAAAGTTGTTAACCAAACAAGCTTGCTAAGTAAGCATAAAATGTTGACCACTTGATATTTTGAGCATAAGTCTTTAAGAAGTTTAAGAGAAAAAATTCAGATGGAGTTTCAAATACTATAATATGAATTATAGACTAAAACATGTTTAAAGAAATCACACTACCCTAAGAGGTAAAAGACCCAAATATGGGGCTAACCTGTTTCTGAATGGACTTCAACCAAGAATTCAGCAGACTAGTTGATAAAACTAATTACAATCCTCTGTTTGGATGATAGCATGGAGTGAACTGGACTTACACTGTATTTTAAGCGTATGGAACAATCTGGCCTGAAGTGATATCCCACAATGAACAGAGAAACTGGCAATATCAACAGAATTAGATGGCTCTATTATATGCCACCAAATCATACACTAGTTATCAAAATTAAGATACCCACATTCAATCTTTAATGGTCTTTCTTCTCAAATATTCAACTAATTATTAATAACGAAGTTCACAAATATATCAACCCCTAGCTGATTTTATCTAAAAATAAAAAGCCAAAAAACAGTTGTCTACAATGAAGTCTGTATATTCCCATCAAGCTATACCAACTTTCTTAGGGCCTTACTGTATTTTCAAATGTTTGTGTCATAAAGCTTAGAAAGTGATTCATCTAGTCTTTCACTTGTACTCTAGAAAATATATGATGCAAATCATCCATCCCTAGTAAAGTTTAGGATCTATTCCTGCCTCTCCAATCACACTTACTAGACTTCTTTTTTAGTACCTAAAAAACCAAAAGAACAAACCCATTGTCATCAAGCCAATTCCGACTCATAGCAAACCTACAGGAAAGAGAACTGCCCCAAAGGGTTTCCAATCAAGTCCTAAATGGGTCCACTCTCACTTTATCTATGGCAATTACTTCACTTGGTTTCAGATGACCTCCAGGTAACATCTCTTAGGAATGTTCCTGCCCGTTTAATATAAATCACCTGCGAAGGAAGAGGCTCTTCATTCTAGGACCTGATCCTAAACTCAACCAATCTCCACTTCAGTTTCAGCTCAAAGAGTGTTTGAATCAATATTCTCATTTTTATAGAGGAGGAAAGTGCAAGGAGAACATAATTGTCTATGGTCCCTTACCTAACTAATGGCAAATCTGGTATCAGAACAGTTCTACTCTCAAATGAATCCCTCAGATTGACTCAATTTAAATTATCTCAAACGACACCAAATCCACAAGTGACTTAGAAGGAATAAATCAATATACAGTCTTTGTTCTATTTTGGAACATTAGCTGGCTGAGAAGTGAGTGGGAATTGGCACTGTGTCCTTCCCAGGCTGATCATACTTCAATCCGTGGCTCCTCCACGAGCTATGAGCATGAGTTCTGCAATAGCAATGCATGCAAAGAAATTCTCCAGCGCTCATGCCACTGCCCACACAGGCTTTGCATAACAGCCATCAACTTTGGGAATAACCTGGTGTTATGGATTGAATTGTGTCCCCAGAAAATATGTATTGTAAATCCTAAGCTCAATGCCTGTGATTATAATTCCTTTTGGGAATGGATTGTCTTTGTTATGTTAATTAGGCAGGATTACTGTAGGGTGTGTCTTGAGTTGATCTCTTTTTGAGATACAAAAGAGATTAACAACAAATATACAATAAGAGATGGGGAAAGAGAGACACTAAAAATGGCTTGACTGAAGCATCTGACCTCCTCTATCTTCACAAGGGGTAGGAGAATCAAGATCAACAGTCCAAGGCTGATTCCTATGAGGCAGAGGTCAGACACACCTCCTCTCCCAGTCTTTTTACCAATTCTGACACCCGCCATCCTTCTCACAGTACTCTCTACTTCTCTGCTGGACTCAATAATTCATTGTAATGGCCACACAGAACTCACAAATAATACTCACAATCATGGAATTAGGGAAGTAAAAAAAAAATCTGTTGCTGTCGAGTTAATTCCGACTCACAGAAACCCTATAGGACAGAGTAGAACTGCCCCATAGGGTTTCCAAGGAGCAGCTGGTGGATTCAAACTGCTGACTCTTAACCACTATGCTACCAGGGCTCCTATTAGGGAAGCAGCAGGTTACAATTCAGGATCAGGAAGGACTCAGGATACAGTTCTTCGATGAGAATAGCCTGCAGGCAGGCCTCTCTCTGGCCCTCGGCCCCTCAACTCCTCAGCCCTCGGGCCTCTTGGGCTGGCCTGGCCTCTGTCCTCCACCGGCAACTGTTACAAAACTCCACCAATAAGTGCCCAGAGGCACCCTACTCCACCAGTAAGCCTCCCCCAGAATGTGCTCAGCTCTCTAGCTCTGTGGGTCAGCAAGCCTAGCTCCTCCGACAAGTGCCTGGAGACACCCCACTCCACCAGCAAGCCTTGCGCCCGAAGGTGCTCAGCTCTCTTGCTCCGTGCGCTGGGAAGCCCACCGCGCTGTCTCCTGCCAGTCTCCTGGTTTTACTGTCTTCCATGTTACAGCTCTGTCTCCTGAGTCTAGGAGGCTGTTAGTGCACGGACCTAGTCCAAAGGATGCACTCCACTCCCAGCTCTTCTTTCTTGATTGTAATGAGGTCCCTCCCCTACCATTCTGCCTCTGGGATGGCTCATTTTAATGTAATGGAGTTCTATCATTAGGGTTTATACACTTTATTTGCATGGTCCCACCCCCAGAAGGGTGTCATGAACCTTATTTGTAGTATTAGCAAGCTAGTCAATCCGTTTGGAGGGCCACAACCACCTCATCTGCATAGCCCCACCCAGTCATTTTGTGCAAATTACAAGACTATGGCTAGAAGGGCCATAGTAAGTAATTCACTGCACCATAGATGCCAAACCACATGAAGCCCGCCCAGGAGCAGAAGCTCAGAAGAAACAGAGCTGACACAGACAGAAAGCTTTCCCTAGAGTTGGCACCCTAAATTTGGGCATCTAGCCTCCTAAACTGTAAGAAAATAAACTTCTGTTTGTTAAAGCCATCCACTTGTGCTATTTCTGTTATAGCAGCACTAGATAACTACGACACTGGGCAACTACAAACTACCCTATAATACCATTAGCTGAGTTTCCTATAGTGGTATTTATCTTACCATTGCCAAATTCAATTTCCTAATCCAAGGAATAGATAATTATGTTTCACACAGTCTTAAACTGGGCAAATTTCTTAAGGTGCTTTGTGGCTTTAAGGATTTAAATTGAACCCAGTGTTTGTCAACAAGGGCACTATGGCATTTGGGGAAGGGTAATTCTTGGTTTTGTGGGACTGCCAGTGCACTGCAGAAAGTTTAGAATCATTGGTACTCTGCCCTCTAAATATAAGTAGTTCCCCCAGTCATAACCCCCACATATTTCCAAATGACCCCTAAGGAGAGATACCATTACCAGGTCAACCATTAAGTGAACTATGAAAAAAAAAATTTTTTTTTACATGAAGACCTGACCCCTTTTCCCTGCCGCTAATACTGTCTTCCATTTCTCTTTTTTAACTCAGATTAGATATAGTACTTTGTTCAGTAACTCCACAAAACCAGCTTTATCTGGACCAGTTATATACTTAAGATACTGGTATGGTCAGGGAAGCAGAGCAGAAAAGTTACAGTAATGGAATCAGGGTAGCTGAGTTTGAATTCCAGTTTTCTCACTATTCAACCTTAAGCAAGTTATTTCCCCTCTTAGGGCCTCAGTTTTCTCATCAATTTAAAAAAAAAAAAATTGGACTAAATTTTCTCTCTGATTCACTGCAGTTCTAGGAATCTATGATGTAAAACATAATTAACTTGCTTTTCTTTCTTTCAACCTCCACATAGCTAAATGCGGTGACTGCTGCTGATACATACTCCCTCATCTCTCAGAAGCCAGGACCCCAAAGCCCCAGAGAAAGCCATAGGCAGGATAGTTACACCCAGCCAGACCAATTTAGGATTTTATTCTAGAGTCTATGGATATTCTTGAGTTTATAAAAAGGAGCTAAATTACTGTATGATCCATTAATAATAGAAGCACCAAGATAATAACAGCAGTAATAGCTACCCTAATTTATGTTTATCTAGGCTAGACCTATAATCTCAACTCTGGCTGCACGTTACAATCATATGGATAGTTTTGTTTGTTTGTTTTTAAATGCTCTGGCTCCAAGCCAAACCAAGACCAAACGAATCAGTCTCTGGGTATGGGCTTATTTCTTAAAGGCTCCCCAAGTGATTCTGATGTATAGAGAGAACCAAGAACTACTGATCCAGACTTTTAAATCTAAGAAATGCAAAGCATATGACCAAAGGTTAGTATCTCACACACTGGTTGTGTAATAATCAAACATCAACTAATAAGAAAAATTCAGTACTACTATTTATTGACATTCTCAATTATATACAGAGAATTATCTTTCTAGAGAAAAAGGGGAGCTCTATAACAATACCTTGTTCATACCACAGCCCTTTATTGAGGACTGGCTCTGCTAGAAACAGAATATAAAACTTCTTGACATGATGAAGCAGCTCAAAGAAAGATTATTACAAATCTGTTCCCCCCCGAAGAATTTCCAACTCATCCAGATGGTAATAACAATGTTAGTCAAACTAGTATAGAGACTGAAATTCTTCAACCTAATTTTCACTTACTAAAAAGACTTACTATGCAGGAAGGACAGGAAAAAATTAAGAAGAACATTTAAGAAAAGACACTTCCAAAACCTGCACTCCAGGCAGAAGACACATTTCCCACCGACTCATGAGCACTTTAAGTCCACTGACCTAGGAAAGGGTGGAACACTTCTGGCTAAAATTATTCTTGTTCTTTTCAGAACAAAAATCAGCCAAACCAATAGGATAGCTTAAATAATTAAACCATTAAACTTCTTTCTTACCTCATCTGTAAGGCCAAGCCATCCTGTAGGCTAGAGATTCCCAAATCAGAGAGCGTATCTGAGCTGACAGAAGCTGGTGACAGAGAGCCCTCCTTTTCCTCCAGTAGGTCCAACTTCACCAGGCTGCTGATCTCATCCTCTGAGTTATCTTCAGACACGGAACCAATTATGAATCGGGAGTGCTGGTTCAGCTCCAGAGGTTTGGCCAAGGGAGAGGGCTCATCCATTATTCCTTCAAAATGACCTCTCAGAGCTTTAGAAAAAAATGAAGAATAAGTGAGCCAAACAGGTTATGGATGATAATCTCTATCTGAGGACTGCTAACTCATTTAGGTTATACCTAAAATGCCACCTGGAAGCAAGACATTGTTTGAGATCTAGCTTTCTTAGCTATTCTACTTCAGGGTCTTTATTTTCTATACAAGGACAGCTAACTCATTTAGTTATACCTAATATGCCACAGATGGCCCCTGGAAGTAAGGCAGGGGCCTTGCCTGTTTTGAGAGTTTGAGAACTAGCTTTCTTAGCTATTCTACTTCAGGGCTTTTGTTTTCCACAAAGGGGAAAAATTGCGATCATGGTCTAACTATGCCTAAAAAGTAAAAGCGAGCTCCTTTCTCCCCAAAGAAATCTCTCTCAAAAAACTATAAGCTATTCCCAATCTCTTTAATAATTTGGTAGGGATCAAGAGGTAATTACGATCAATGAGGAAGCCTTTGTAGTAGATGAAAGCTGCTTGTTACCCTTCTATAATTTCAGTTGTTAGTACTGGGTAAGAGGTACAGGTTAAGGATTTGGGGAGAGTGGTGGTTGTTCGAAACTTGGCGTTTAGAGTAAATCACATACCCTATCATCTGGTTCCAAACACCATGCTTTGAGAGGCTATGAATTTTCATAAATGTGCACCTTTAAAGCAAATTCCAAATGGGATTTTTTTTTAACTAAAAAAAAAAAATCTTTACCTGTCCTCATGACATTTTTATTAAATTACGTCTTTCAAAAATTCACCTAAAAATATCTACTTTGGGCTCTAATATGCTGACTTCAGTGTAGGGAGAAAATGAATCTACCACCAAATTTACAATTTGTAATTAAAGCAACGCAGGTGTCATCTCAAGTACTATTTTTCTAGATATAGGGCCTTACTGGTCAGGATTAGTATTAGCATTAACAAACTAATAAAGACCAAAACATAATTCAAAGTCCACAACAACAATAAAAACCAAAACTAAGTGAAAATACTTATTCTGTCATCCCAAAAGTCCCATTAAAAAACCTTCGAAAAGTATACATCAACTCAGTATTAAAAAGCTTGTAGCCTGACCAACCATTTCAATTTAGAGATTAATAATTTCCAATTCTGATCTTGAAGTGCTCTAAGATATGGTCTACCTTTTCATTGGTATGATAAATACAAGTAAAAAAAAATTTTTTTTAATTATGTTTTAGGTGAAAGTTTACAGTGCAAATTGGTTTCTCATTCAAAAATTTATACACAAATTGTTTTGTGACATTGGCTGCAATCCCCACATTGTGTCAGCAATCTCCAGCTTTCCCTTTCCACCACGGGTTCCTCTTGTCCATTCATCCAGCTTTCCTGTCCCTTCCTGCCTTCTCATCTTTGCTTTTGGGCAGGTGTTGCCCATTGGTCTCGGGAGACTTGATTGAACTAAGGAGCACATACCTCATGTGTATTACTGTTTGTTTTATAGGCAGAAGTAAAATCTTTATTTTGAGCTTATTAATAAAGTTTATCTGGTATAAGGTATAAAGGTAGGTGGGGAGGAGAGTTCTTTGACATCTGACAATAAAATGTCAAGATTTAAAAATGCTTGGAAATCACCACTCTAGAAAATTATTTACCTTTGCCAAAATGTAAGGATGTTAGGAGACAGATACTACACACGCTAAAACTACACACGCATTATTATTCTGCATAATTTGTGAATTAAAGCTTATTCATTTACAGAGACAAAACAATATTTGCAAATGCTAGCACAGTGCTTCTCAAAGTGTGGTTCCTGGACAACCACCAGCAGCAGCAACATTGGCATCAGCTGGGAACTTGTTACAAGTGCAATTCTGAGGACCTACTCCAGACTTAACTGAATCAGAAACTTCAGGGTTGGGGAACCCCAGTAATCTGTTTTAACAAGTCCTGAAGTTTGAGAACCACTGTGCTAGAGGAATAAAACAGTAGTAACAAATTGCTAGAAATGCTAAAAAAAAAAAAAAAACCCTATAAACACTTCCTAAAAGTCAGGTGAAGATTACTTAAGCTAACTTATTTTTAAAACTAGAATCAAATATAAAAAAGTTTATCATTCAACAGGGAAAAACTAATGTCTAAATTGGCTATACAGATCTCCCTTGGAATATTAGGTTTCTTTAAAAATAGTAAAACAAAATGTCTCAGTTTTTAAAAAAGGATTCATTTCCAGAGGCCTTAAAGAAAATCAAATCATTTTAAAAGAAAAGAGAAAGGAACAAAGGAAGGAAAAAAGTTCAAACAGAGATTCACCACTCCGAAGAACACCAGTAAGTACAGCAGCAAAAAGGCTACTGCTTTCACATTTTACAGCAGTGAACTGTCAAGTCTAAAAATATAGGTAGATCCAAAAAAATAAAATTCCATCTTACCTAAAAACAGAAAATAATGGCTGTCTTCTTCACAAGAAAAATAAATAAGGCCCTCAGGTGCAGATTCTAGTTCACAGTCTGAATGAACTTAGATGACCACTCAAAAAAATAAGAGCCATGTGAAAGGAACAATCCTTTAATTTCATGGAAGAAGAAAAAGAAAGGGGAAACAAAGCACGGTCTCCAGGCTAACAAATGGCAGACTTCACCAAGGCCAACTTCAAAATTTTCTCCTCTAGCAAAGAAGAACATAAAGGCAGCTTTCCCCAAAGGGCTACAAAGATTGGAAGCAGCTCAGTGTTTACAGCTGAACAGCCTGTCCAGCAACCAGTAACTCTACTAAACAGTATTCCCAGCCACAAGCTAAGAACCACCAGAAAAGCGAGGTCATGTATGGAAAGTCACTCCAGAAGCTGCTCCACAGCCAGTCCCATTTCTATCAATTTTAGCCCTGAATTAAAGACAGGTGACAGTGGAACACTACCATTGTCACAGACTCCCTGTTCACTTCAGCTTACGCACCCTAAATCTTTCCATATTCTTTTGTGGAAGGCAAGTTTTTTGTTTTGTTTTGTTTTTTTAGGGGGGGCGGGTCATGGGGGCAGGCAACTTTTAACATAAAAGCCTACAGTTTAATATTTCAGCACATGAACATAAAATTTTTAACACAATGCAAACATGAAGAAGCATTATGTATAACTGACCTCTTACAATTCTTACTGTCTGAGCAGATATCCACCTCCAAAAAGAACTAAAGAAAGAAAGAGAAAGAGACTTGAAGTTTTCTTTTTTTAAGAAATCCAAATTTTATCAATTCCTGTTTTGCTCAGTATAGCACAAAATTAATAATACTCAAAGTAAAATTTTCTAGTCAAATCTGTTATTTAGCTTGAAGCATAAAGTTAAGTTATTATTATTTGTTCAATTCTGTAAAACAAAAGCATTACACAAAGACTATTATTCAGGAAAGCATTAAACAATAGCCCAGGCTTACCATTTCACAAGGTGCCTTTTCCAATTGTATACGTCAATGAATACATTTCATCACTGTGATTTCCAATATTTCATCAAAAAGAGCACAATGGGGAGAAGACAGCCACTAGGATTCTCTCCAACTCAGTCAGGCTCTGATTACATTTTCCAAGTGGTTATACCAGCAAAGGTTGGGAGCCAGAGAAAGGACAGAGCTCCCGTTATACTAAATACTAAGGAGTCTCTAGCTATTTTCCAAATCCTGGGTTTCCTTCTAAACCCAACGATGTTAACGTACCTAGGGTAGAAATTCTCAACATTGACTATGTATAAGCAGCACCTATGGAGCTTTTTAAAAATAAACAGATCTAAGCTCCACCCCAGATCTACTGTATCAGAATCACTTCTCGAGGACCAGGAATTTGAATTTTAATAAGTTCCACAGTTAACTGACACTGATACAAATCCAGGTTTGAGAATCACTGGTCTAAACGTGGAGATGAAAATAGAAGGAAAAGAACTTATTACATACATAGGGAAATCTAGAACTCCTAAGAGGTTACCCCCAAATGACAATGGACAGGATTGGGGACAGATGTATCCCGCAAGTATGTTAACTGGGGAATGAGGATTTATTTGGTCTGAGCCAGAACTGTTCCCTACAATTGTGGTGGGGGAGGGGGGCAAGAAGAGGAAGGGAAAAGTGATTTGAATCAAATAACCAAAGGTGCAGTTAAAACCTAGGACGTAGGCACAAACTCTGACTCTACCAAGTTAACAGCAGTGCAAACTTAAACAAGTCACTCAACATCTCTGAGCCCCTCCCATCTATAAAAAACAAAAACAGTAATATACATATATACCTATTGGGACTGTTGGGAGGACTGAGAGTATATGAAAGGGTTTTGTAAACTACAATGCACTAACACCAGTGTTTTTGAAACTATGGGTTACCACCCAGCAGTATGTTAGGAAATACATTTAGTGGGTTATAACCAACATTTTAAAAAATACAACAGAATGGAAAATATTTGCTAAGACTGCACCATACTTGATAAGGAAACCCTGGTGGCGTAGTGGTTAAGAGCTACAGCCCGTAACCAAAAGGTCAGCAGTTCGAATCCACCAGGTGCTCCTTGGTAACTATGGGGCATTTCTACTCTGCCCTATAGGGTCAATATAAGTCAGATGGCAACAGGTTTTTTTTTTATACTTTATAAGGGTAAATATTGTTCTGGAAATTTTTGTTATCAGTAGGATGACAGCTTTGCGGATAAGAATCAGCATAAAGCCTATTCCCAGAAGGTGGAGATCAATCATATCCCCGCTTTTCTGCTTCTCCATTTCTGAAACCAGCCAACCACAGGTCACTCTCCCTCTCTCTGTCCCTAGCCACCCAGGACTAAGTCAGACCTTACAAGTTAAGCAGACACTGTGCTGGGGTTCATTAATTTGCTGAACAACTCACAGAAGATATTATACTTACAATTACTGGTTTTATTATAGTAAAATGATATAAATCAGGATCATCAAAAGGAAGAGATGTATAGGCAAGGTATGCGAAGGTTCCCCACCCAGAGATGCCCTAACTCACAGAGGGCACACCACCCTCCCTTTGCCTATCAGGAAGCTCTCAGAGCCTTAGTGTTCGGGCTTTTATTGGCCAGTCCTAAATAATGAACCCTGGCTGTGTAATGGTTAAAAGCTATGGCTGCTAACCAAAAGGTCAGCCGTTAGAATCTACTAGGTGTTCCTTGGAAACCATATGGGACAGTTGGTCCTACTCTGTCCTATAGGGTCACTATGAGTTGGAATTGACTCAGGGCAACGGGTTTGAAGATTAGTTCACATCAGCCTCCCAGGTGAGTCTTTTCTAGTTGGACCAGCCCCCACTCACCAGCACAAATCCTCAGGTGTGGCCTGTAACTCCCAGTCCGAGGCACCACAATCACTCCAAGAGTTATTTTTCCATAGCCAAGAATAAATGCCACCTTACTTAGGGTAAAACTAGGTCCTTTACCCTACAATCAGTAATATATAGGTCATGATATAAATGACATCTTAGTGTAAGGTGTGGTTAAAAAAAAAAGTCAACAAACCCACAACTAATCCTCATTCTCCCACTCCCTCTCCACATTACTTCCTCACTAATGCACACAATGAGTTAAGTACCTAAATCAATGGTTCTTAAACTTTCTTAGATCAAGACACTGTTGGAAATCTGATAAAAACTATGGACTCTTTCCTGACAAAAACGCACCCTCACACAAAATTTTGTTTGCATACAAGTTTGTTTGTACATGAAGCCTTGCTGTGAAGCCTTGCCCCCTCCCTCTAGAAAGAAGACAAAGAATGATGTTGACATTTGGGGAATGCTCATACAGCTGTTGTCCTGTTCCCTGCAAAACAATGCCCAGAGTTCTCTTTCCCCAGATTTGGCTGTAGGATATTATGCTTATCGAAATAAAAATTATTTTCTTCATCATATTAAATTGTTGAAAATGTGAAAATCTCTTCAACATTTACATTTTTTTAATGTATAAAATATTCTTGAACTTTTATTTAGGAATCCTTGCATATGAAAACTCCCAAACTATACCCTATATTCCTGAAAATGGGGTAAAGCTGATTACAGCTAATGTACTTATTTAAGAGTCAGCCTTCAATTCATTCAGAGATATTTCTCTAAATAAGTAGAACAGATTTTACCAAACTTAGTTAAGATGTTCTCCTTGAACTCAAATGACACTGGGTTTTCCAAATAATTATAATAAAGAAGCAGTAATTAATTCTTGTAGCCACTAATAGAAGTACCCAAGCTATGTGAGCAGCCACATGAGATACAACTGGTCTCTATTCGCCTGGAGAAACAGGGAAAGAAGGAGACCCAGTAATGGAAGAAGGAAATGGCCTATAGGTCTAATGGACTGCAGACTCCATGAACTGTCTCCTGCTCCATGAGAACAGAAGAAATGGATGATGCCTGACTACCATTACTGAACATTTTCATCAAGAACCCAATAGCTGGATCCTGATCAAAAGAAGGAAAAACGTGGAAGAGAATTTCAAATTTCCATGGAAACCACACTTACTGGATCCATTGAAACCAGGTGAACTTTCAAATCTATTACCTGGAAACAATTTTAAACCTTCAACCAAAACTATTCCATTAAGTCATTTTTAAAGTAAACAACAATTTAGCTCAATTAAGAAAGCTTGCCTTGAGCACTGTACTCTTTTAAAGAATTATCTATATGAGACCAATTGACAACAGTAACCTTAAAGCACAGGTGAGAACTTTAAAGGGCAGAGTCTAACTTAATGGTGCTGAAACATTATGGATAGAGATAGTAAGAATGGTGACACGTTGTGAAGTATGTAACCTTTGTCATGGAACTGCACATGTAAAAACTGTTGAACAGGTATGTTTTGGTGCGCATATTTTCACCAAAAAAACAAAAACTATTCAAGCTAACACAACACGTTCTTACTCTTTTAAGCCATAATTAGTTCATTTAAATTTTTTCAAAAAGAATAACTGAATTTGCTCTTCTCCTTTTTATCATTTTATTGATGAAATTTTAAATGGATTTTGGTACTAATTCAGTGACCCGTAAGTAGATTGCAGAATTTTCTTAAATCAATTTTATTTCCTACAAGTTTTAAATTTTAAAAATAAGGAGCAGTTGTGTCCCAGATAGATTGATACTGTGTATTCAAAGAATAGATCTGGTCACTGGCCAAGTGGGTATGGCACTAAATAAACAGACAATTATAGGAGTATAATAATTGCTAGACATGGAAACACAAAAGAAAAGTACTTAATCCAGACTTGGAGGTGGTAATGATGAGGAATAGAGTCAAGGAAGACTTCTGGAGTGGGAAGATATTACCAGCAAAGAACCGGAGAGATATGCAAGGAGAGAGAGGAAGGAGCATTTCATGTAGAAGGGACATCTAAATAAAGATCCAGATGGTGGAATATGATGAGTTATGAGAAATACTAGATCTGAATGGTTGCAACAGGGTCAAGGTTATTTCCTTCAAGTGCCAGCTCAAGACTTTTTGTTTTTTCATAAAACAGAAAAGTATGTGTCTTAGTTATCTAGAGTTGCTATAACAGAAATACCACAAGTGGATGGCTTCAACAAACAGAAGTTTATTCTCTCACAGTCTAGTAGGCTAGAAGTCCAAATTCAGGGCATCAGCTCCAGGGGAAGGCTTTCTCTGTCAGCTCTGGAGGAAGGTCCTTGTCATCAATCTTCTCTGGTCAAGGAGCTTCTTAGTGCAGGGACCCCAGGTCCAAAGGACATGCTATTCTCCTGGCTCTTGTTTCTTGGGTGGTGAGGTCCCCCGTCTCTCTGTTCCCTCCTCTCTTTTATATCTCAAAAAAGGTTGACTTAAAACACAAACTAATCTTGCAGATTGAGTCCTGCCTCATTAACATAACTGCCGCTAATCCCATCTCATTAACGTCATAGAGGTAGGATTTATAACACATAGGAAAATCCTATCAGATGACAAAATGGTGGACAATCACACAATACTGGGAATCATCGACTAGCCAAGTTGATACACAAATTTTTTTTTGGGGGGGAAACAATTCCATCCATAACAGTATGTATTTAAGGTAACAGTGGTCAAAGAAGCCCACAGTGTAACTGTTCTATTTCCTATTTCTCAGTCCAAGAATATACAATATTTTTTAAGGATGAAGCTAGTGCAAGCTTTTCCATCTTTCAAGAAATGTCAAACTTCTGGGTTAAGATGGTGAGTTGA